TCTGAGCCCCCCTCTCCCCCCTCCCTTCCCCCTTTTCTTTAAGACCCCCATCCCGTTTCGTCTTTGTTTCCCCTTCCCCATCCTCTAACTTTCTCCCTCTCCCTTTTTTTTTGCTCCATCCTACTTCTCTTATCCACTCGAATAGTCGCGTAAATAAATATACATAAAATTCAAGACTATCTACTTAGATATAGAGTAGTTGCCTTGTAGAAGAATGATAGTAATGATAATCATGATAATGATAACAATAATGATAATGATATTCATAAAAAAAAACAAAGCCACTAATGACAATAGCGATCATAAAAGAATTAGAATAGGATTTTCACAGATTCGTAAAATGATGCGCACGTGTGTGTGTTTTGATATTAACATCGTCAATTGCCATTCTATTTCACACCAAAGATAACTGAGAACAAGTCTGCGATCACATGGAATATGATTCATTGCATAAAATACTTATTATTCATCAAAATTAAGAAATCTCGTCTGCACTCACACAATATAGGAGTTCGGATGAAACGCGAGAATTATGATTAAAACGTGATTTTTTTTATCCATCTAATCAAGTCTATCTAGTTACTTCTTCTCTTTATATATGCGCGCGCGTTTGTGTGTGTTCTGTTTATGTGTGTGAGTGTATATATGTGCATATATATGTGAGAGAGAGAGAGAGAGAGAGAGAGAGAGAGAGAGAGAGAGAGAGAGAGAGAGAGAGAGAGAGAGAGAGAGAGAGAAAGACATAAATAGACAGATATTTTATATCAGTGTTTCCATGGGCACTGCATTGCGGTGCATCAGCAGCATATCTTTGCCCACCGCTATGCGCTTGTAGAGCCACCCCGTTCTCCTCCACTCCCCTCCCAGTGCCCTTCCTTCTTTTCCTCCCTCTACCCCTCTTCTCATTCACTCCCCCTTTCCCTTCTCCCACCCTTCTCACCCTCCCTCCCTCCCACCCGCCCCTCACCACCTACCTCCCCACCACCCACCCTTCCCCCTCCCTCCCCTCCCTCCCTTCCCCCCTCCCACCACCCCTCCCACCCTCTCCCTCCACCCCTCTCACCCATCCCTCCCTACCCTCCTCCCTCCCTACCCACCCCTCCCCCTCCCTCCTTCCCTCCCCCCACCCTTCACACCCTCCTTCCCTCCCCTTCCCCACCCACCCTCTCACCCCTCTCCTCCCCTCCCCACCCACCCCTCCCTCCCTCCCTCCCTACCTCCCTCCCCACCCACCCTTCACCCCCCCTCCCCACCCACCCTTTCTCACCCCTCCCTCCCCACCCACCCCTCCCTCCCCTCCCCCTCCCTCCCTCCTCCCCTCCCATCAACCCCTCTCACCCTCACTCCTCCCTCCCTCCCCTCCCCCCTCCCATCCACCCCTCTCACCCTCCTCCCTCCCTCCCTCCCTCCCCCCCACCCCACCCCTCCCTCCACCCCTCCCTCCCTCCCTCCTTCCCACCCACCCCACCCACCCCTCTCACCCTCCCTCCCTCCCTTGGTAATATATTCGAAGGAGATATATGTTACGAGGCAGCCGAAGACCCGAGGCCGCCCCTGTTGCCTCGACAACAAACGTCTCAGGAGGAAGGAGATTGCGTTTGCCAGGCGGGGAGGCCGTTGCAGGGAGGCTCCGGAGGGACGCGGGATGCTCCTTCGAATCGAGACGGCGGAGGCGAGAGCGAGATCTCGGTTTGCAGAAGAGGGTCGTTGATAAAGCAGAAGAGGGTCGTTGAAAGTAAGGCATCGTTCTTTTTCTTCGGGTTTTTTTTTTTTTCTTCTTCTTTCTTCTCGGTTGCAGAAGAGGGTCGTTGAT